ACTAAGGAAAATATTGGTTAGAATTATTAGAATTCAAAATTTAAATTTACTGAATTTGTATGTAAATTAACTGAATTCAGAGTTCATAATCTTAAATTGAAACATATCAAAGCAGGTATAAAGGGTGAAGCAGGACAAAGCACATTTTTGGTGATTTTCGTACCATTTATGATTGGAATTAATAACAATAAACATGCTTTTTTGTTTAATTAAAAAAATCCAATAATGGGAATCTTAAATGGCATCTGACTGAGCCCTACAAACGTGATTGGACAGTGTGCATACAGCATACTCGAAGGGAAGGGAACAAGGTGACGGATGCTGGTCTCATTAATTTCCAACATCGTTCCCAACTTGTAGTAAAATATTATCCCATTGTCCAGAATTCCAAACCACTTTCTTTTTAAATGAACATTTGATTAGTTACGTTAGGTAGAAATGACACACATACATCATCTTAAATAAGGTAAGTTTTAAAATGGCATACAATAATTAAATATAAAACTATAAAGTTCCTCCTCTCATCTTTATCCAAGTAAAACGCTGCTCATTTCTTCCTACTTTTCCCATCTCTTTCTTTATCTCGTCTCTCTTTTGTTATTTTTTTTTTATTAATATGTGGTAAATATAAAGTAGTATATGTTTAATGAAAATTCTAAACTATTTAACGTTAACTGCTCACACCCCTGACATTTATGTGCTGAAACTCAATACCTCAATAAATAACGATAATCCTTTTACCATTGAGGTCACTTGATTCGTACTCTCATTGTTACTTGGTCTTGGTTGTGTGTAAAGATTTTCTGACCTTTTTTCATGATGAATCAAGGTAGGTATAGATATGTTAATGGGTCAGGCCCAATACTAATTTTCTTTATACAGACCTGAAATATGTGTCACTTTTTTTTTGTCCAAACCCAACAATTAGAAACAAGACCGATTAATTTTTCAGTCGAGATGAATGTTGAATAGCAGCATCAACGAATTCTTTTGCTTCAAGTCATCGTCGAGATATAATATTAGATGTAGAAGTATATTTAAATTAATTGATTGATTAATTTTTGTTGTTGTTGTTGTTATGATCTTTTAAGAAATTATATTTTCTCGTCATAATAATTCTCTAACGGGATAAAAGTAATACGAGTTAACTTTTTTCTCTTTTGTTGTGTTGTTATGATCTTTTAAGAAATTATATTTTCTCGTCATAATAATTCTCTAACGGGATAAAAGTAATACGAGTTAACTTTTTTCTCTTTATATAGAATGAATATTAAGTCAATCTATTGAGTATTTATAACGTTGTCTTTCATCGATTTATAAATCAAATAAAAGTAATACGAGTTAACTTTTTTCTCTTTATATAGAATGAATATTAAGTCAATCTATTGAGTATTTATAACGTTGTCTTTCATCGATTTATAAATACAATATATGATATATACACTATAATTTTATAACACTTTAATACCTATAAAACATATAACATAATTGATCACTTAATATTTTTTTGGATAATTAGATTTAATTACCCAAGAAAACATAGAACTGCTTACAAAACAATCAAATCATAGGATACAAAATAGGGAAACCTATATACAACAAAAATTAAACTATACCCCATTGATTACATAGTACTAAATTTGTGTTATCATTTCTGTTAACATTCCTATTGCTTAAAACAGTTCCCACAATCAACTTAACGATGCTAATAATTTCTTCTTCGTTTTTGCATTTCCCTATGAAGATTCTTCGATTCCTTTCCTCCCATATTATGTAATTATAAGCACACCAAGAAAGTTTCAATACTGAAGAAATCAGATATTTACCTTTTCATGTTGTAGCTGCCCATTCCAGCAAATTGTACTATTTCAAGGGTGGTATATTCAAGCTTGAAATTTGAAGAAGAGACTTCCAGATAGAAGTTGTCCATGAACAACTGGCAAAAAGATGATCTCGAGTTTCATTAGATTCGGAACAGAAAATGCAGTCAGTATTAATAACCAGTCCGAATCGTTACAATCTGTCCTTGGTGGGGAGTCGATCCAATAAAACCATCCAAGAAATCACACTATGTTTCGGAATATGAAGGGGAAACCATATCAGTTTTTCCCAAGTAACTTTGCTGTCTTTTGACCGAATACCTTCCCAAATTTATTTCGTATTAATTGCAGAAGGAAAATCAATCAGAGGTATGGTCGTGCTTCTCATTTTCAGCATGTGTCTGAAGCACCAAGAGGAATTCAATGGTTCAGCCATAGTCCAAAAATCGTTATGTTTGATGATATATTTGTGCGTCCAAGCTACCCACATTGAACTTTCCCCTGCAAGCAGTTTTCGGATCTGTTAAATTAAACATGCAGAATCCCAACACTTAATATCCTTGATACCCAGACCTCTTTCGGATTTAGGCTTACAAATTTTTACCAGTTCACTCTTGCTCCAGCAGCAGGTGAATCTAAACCCTTAAAAAAATCTCGAACATAGTTGCTCGATTTAATTGATAATGGATTGGGGTAAGACAAGTTGCCTACACCAATAGTTAGTAACGCTAAATAAAACCGTCTTAATAAGCTCAATCCGACCTGCATAACTCATATTTTTTCTAGACCACTGATGAAGTCTATTTTTGATGTTGTCGAGAAGGGCTTGACAATCTTTATCAGAGAGCTTCTTGGTGAAAAGAGGAACTCCCAGGTAACGAATAGGCAGTCTATCATGTTTAAAGCCAGATGAGCTAATGATAGTATCAAGAGATTGATAAGATAAACCAACAGTGAAGATTTCACATTTTCCTGCATTTAGTTTTAGCCCAGATAACTCATAGAAGCTGTCCAGAACTGTAATGACTCTCATTACCGACTGTAAATTACCTTTGCAAAATATTAGTAAGTCATCGACAAAAGACAAGTGAGTTAGCCCTATTTTCTTGCATTTTGGATGGAAAGCAAAAATCCCCTTATTAGCAGTAGTGTTAAGCATATTGGACAGAAAATTCATTACCATAACAAATAATATGGGAGAAAGAGGATCTCCTTGTCTAATCCCCTTGGCACCTTTGAAATAACCTATCAAGTTTCCATTGAAATCAATGGAATATCTAGCATCCGAGTAGCAAGTAGTAATCCAGTAAATGAATTTAGGGGGAAATTCCATGGCCTTTAAAATTGAAGAAATAAAGCCCCAATTGATAGAGTCGAAAGCCTTTTGAAGATCAATTTTCATAGCACACCTTGGAGAGATGATTTTCCTCCCATAGCCTTTAACGATCTCTTGGGCTAGAAGGGTGTTGTCGACGATACTTCTACTCTTGAAAAAACAGATTGATTTGGAGCTATAAGCCTCGAAAGCAAAGAAGTCATCCTATTGACAAAAATTTTAGTGATGGTCTTGTAAATCACAGAGCAACAAGATATAGGACGAAAGTCTGAAACTTTGCTAGGATTTGGCATTTTAGGAATTAAAGCAATAATAGTCGAATTAAAAGCTGGGTGAATAAAGGATTCTTGAAAGAAAAATTTAACAGCTTTAATGACATCTTTACCAAACACAGTCCATGCTTTTTTGAAGAAGAGAGAAGTAAAACCATCAGGGCCTGGAGCCTTGTCATTACCTTGACTGAAAATGGCATCTTTAATCTCGTCGTTGGTAAAATCTCTAACAAGAATTTCCTTTTCTTAAATAGTGGAAATAGGATGAATCAGTTCTTTTAATAGAGAAGGCAAACTTGCTTTAACATTAGGATCAGGGGATCCTAGCAACATTTTGAAATAATCAATAACTTCCAAGGACATGTCATCAAAAGATTCAAGTTTTTCCCCCTGGTTGTTGACCAACACCCTTATGGTCTGCCTTTTATTTTTAATAGCAATGACTGAGTGAAAAAATTTGGTACACTTGTCACCTTCTTTTAGCCAGTGCACTTTGGCTTTTTGTTTCAAAAACATTGACTGTGCTTCTTCTAAGGATTTGAACTCTCTATGTATTCATATCTCTTTCTCCATAGGCTCATATCCTTTTAATGTAAGAATTTACTGGAATTCAAGTTTTTCTCGTTTTTGTAAGACGCATATCGAAATGTCACTAAAGTAGTCTTTTTGAGATTTTTAAGACTTACTTTGAGACGTTTGAGTTTAATGAATAATGTTGTCATTGAATTATCTTCGGTCTCCATATTCCATGAATGACTAACAATTTCAAGAAAATTCGGGTGAAAGGGTCCCAACAATTGAAGAATTTGAACGGTTTGGGTCTATTGATTTGGACTTCTTTACTAAGCTTCACTATTTCCATGCAATGATTGGAAGGTCCAGGTGCCATGAATTCCACTTAAGAGTGAGGGAAAGTTTCAAACCACAACGGGTTGATTAGAACTCTATCAAGTTTGCGAGCTAGAAAATTATCACTTTGTTTGTTACTCCATGAAAATGTGGGGCCAAAGAAAGGATGATCTTGCAATTGAAGATCCTGAGTAATATCTTGAAACTCTAACATATCTGAGAAAGAAATCATTCCTATATGTTCATGATCCGAGCTCTCAAAGTTATGCAAGATGATATTGAAATCACCTCCCAAGATCCACGAGAGGTTACAGTAGTTAGATTCAATACGTCTAAGATCATTCTTGTGATTCCGTTATTACTTCCATAAGTTGCAGTAATAATGAAAGGATCTTCATGAAACATTCCCTTTGTTGTGATGCTTTGAGCCGAAACATAACATAATGTGAGGTCAATACATTTTCTCCACAAAACCCAAATTCTTCCATTCTCCACGTGATCATAATTATTGAAATAATTCCAACTTTCAAAGGATGATGCTAAGATGTCAGCTGATTTTTCAGCTTTCACTCGAGTTTCCATCAAATAGAGAATATCTACTTTATATTTGGCAGCCCTTCTAATGACTTTGCCTTGTTTAAGAGGGTTTGTTTAACCCTCTTACATTCAAGAAGGAGATGATCATTTACCTTATGAAGAGAATGCCAAGTCCCCTCCTTTACTTCAAACTATATAACTCTTGGACTTGTCAATGTGAGTCTTCTTTTTTAGTTTAAGCTCTTTGATTAGTTCAGTTACACCTGAGGTTGTTGCTCTAGGTTTTTTATCTTGATTGTCTAATGAAGGATGAACCTCGTCAATTGAATTCAGAATATCGAAACGATTGGCAGAACTTGTTAAGCCTTTGTTTACTTTTGGTAGCCTTCGTCTTCCTTTCTTACCAGTTGTTGGGATTGAAATGCTATCAACATTTTTACCTAACAAATCAGGTATCTCAGCAGTTTCTTCAGCCACATTATCCTTAGAAGAGGGATTAACAGTCAAATCGGAAACTATAAAATTTAGGTTCCGTTCTTCCTCAATAAAATATGTCTTTAAAACCAGGATAGAAGAAGAGGGCGGGTCTATTGATAAAAGGTTTCCTGCTACAATATCCTTACAAGGATTATGCTCAGTCACTTCAATTGCTGCAGAATTAAGAGGCTGTTTATCATCAGTACTAACTGTCTCTGGAGCCAAAGAAGAAGAGATGGCAAGGTCCTTTTTCCTCCAAACAAGAGTAGAGGTTTGGGAAGAACTTGTGTTATGCTTATATACTTTAGTACTATGACCAAACACTTTACAGAAGTTACAATAGGGAGAGAGCCACGGAACTTCAACAACAATTGTGACTGTTAGACCATTGTTAAGGATAACGTCAATATACTTAGGAACTGTATCAGTCGCCCCAATCTCAATACAAACTTTCACAAATTCAGGCCTAGTTTTAGTTGCAGTGAATGAATCCATGGAAAGAGGGAAACCTATGGCACTTGCGATATAACTAAGGCCTACATTCGAGAACAATTCAAGGGGAACATTGAACAAATAAACCTAAATAAGGATTCTGGATAAGTCAAAATTCAGTTTTGACATGTTAGGTTCCCATTTCCTAAGCATCAAGGGTTTATTGTAATTATGCCATGGGCCATTCTCCATTACCCAATCTCTATCTTTCTCAGAATTGAAGGAGAAAAGATAAAGATTATTATATGCGTAGCTGATTTGAATAGTAGCACATTGCAAGGATTTTTTTCCATAGATTGTCGATTATCTGCTGAAGAGTTGAGAGTTTTGGTGCTGCTCCAAGAAAATGCCCAACAAAGAGAGAGTCTCCATTCAGCTGTACCTTCCTCGAACACTTCGGGTGGGGGGTGAACGGTCGGAGTCCCATCTCACGAATTTGGGGGAGAATATTGCAATTGATTACCAACAGAGCAAGAGAATAACTTTCGCCAATCCATCTGAAGATCAAATGAATCTTATACAACTGGAGTTGAATGAACAAGGAGAATAATCGAAGAAAGATCGATCAGTTCGTAGAGAACACGGCTGCAGAATCTCAGTTTCCATCAGACCTATGCTAACGTACATCGAGAGGAAACTGCAACAGTGCGCCATCATGCGAATAATGATATACTTTATGATAGTATTTTACATTATATATATTCTAACATAGTTAGTCACTTAATTATAAATCTGAGATTGATAAATGTTAAGCTTAAGAGAATTAAATGTTAAGCTTAAGAGAATGAGAAATTAAACCTCTTGTATCCAATTTAATCAAATTATACAAAGGTGAGACTAGACCGTTAAAAGCTAATAATCTAATATTAGATTTTTATTAAGAACCTATTAGGTTAGGTGAAGATTGGTTGGGATTTAGTTACTGTTAGTTTATTATAAACTCTTTAATATAGGTATTGTCTATCTATCATCGAGGGTTGCATCTAATTAATGGGGATTACTTTAATCCATATTAGGGGTGTTTATCGAGCAAGTCGATCGCGAGTTGGGCAATGTTTGACTCGTGCTTGTTAAAATTTTTTGATGTTCGGCTCGTTGCTCATTAAACTCAACTTATTGCTCGACTTGTCATTAATGACACATGTCATGGTAATATATTGACACATGTTAGATTATGATTGCATAATTAATTTATTAAATTTAATTTAATTTAGGACTAAATTAATAGAATATATAAATATTGAGGATTAAATATGTAATTATGCCAAATTTTTTAATTGCCACGTCAGTCAACTGTTAACTGTTAGTGATTTGATTGAAATAATTAAATAGTTAAGTGGTCTAATTAAAAAAATTAAAAGATTGATGACAAAAATAAAAAAAATTAAATAGTTAAATGATCAACTGATTAGTTTACACTTTAATTAACGGCTATTATATAAATAGTAAGAAGCAACTAGGAACAGCTATGATCGGATGAGAACATTTGGACAAGGAGCCCTTTCTTTTATTTCGACTTCCTGTGCTTGGAATAAATGCTCGGTCTTGTGCTCCACACTAGCCGAAATAGTTTACTGTTCCTTTTCCTCTACCCTGTCTTATAAATTAGCTGTTTATGCCACCAAAATGAAAAATATTATTTTCCGCAGTCATTGCTTGCCATTTGACAGACGGTCGATTAATGTTAAAAAACTAAACACATGACTGCATTCATTCTTTAAATTTAGCAATTTTATACTAAAAATAAAAATATTGTAAAATATGATGTAAACTTTAACTAATTTAAATTTAAAATTTTATATATAAAATAAGTCTTAAGTTTTATTTTTTTATATAAAAATTAAGATGTTATGGAAGGTGCAAACAATGGGGTTTTTTTTTTACAAAAGAAAACGGCTCAGTTGTGTTTCACTAGGGTTTTTTTTACCCCAATAGGACAAACCTAAAAATTATTTGGCCCCTTACGGTAATCTCGTTTTTTCAAAAAATAATTTGTTACATCGAGATGACGAGTTTCATTGTTGATCGTTGACAACTGACCGTTATTGTTCGTTGTCCAACAGTTATAAACGACTAGTTTATTTGAATTCAAAAGAACTCGTCACCTCACTTTTTTTTATTAATTTATACTTTTAATTAAAATTTTAAATTATTATTTTTAAATAATTTCTCTAGGGACTAGTCATCTCGACGTGCCGAGTCCCATTAAATAAATTAATATAATAGTTCACGATGTGCTCACTAAATTGGGACCAATAAAATAATATATCCAACGGAACTCATCACTTCGAGGTGACGAGTTCCCCTATACTATAGCATTTGTCATAGATTGTAAAATAAAAACGAGAGTGTCGTAATGACGAGTTTCATTGTTGATCGTTAACAACTAACCGTTATTGTCCGTTGTCCAACAGCTCTAAACGATTAATTTATTTGAATTCAAAGGAACTCGTCACCTCACATTTTTTTTATTAATTTATACTTTTAATTAAAATTTTAAATTATTATTTTTAAATAATTTCTATAGGGACTCGTCATCTCGACGTGCCGAGTCTCATTAAATAAATTAATATAATAGTTCACGTTGGGCTCACTAAATTGGGACCAATAAAATAATATATCCAACGGAACTCATCACTTCGAGGTGACGAGTTCCCCTATACTATAGCATTTGTCATAGATTGTAAAATAAAAACGAGAGTGTCGTAATGACGAGTTTCATTGTTGATCGTTGACAACTAACCATTATTGTCCGTTGTCCAACAGCTCTAAACGATTAGTTTATTTGAATTCAAAGGAACTCGTCACCTCACATTTTTTTATTAATTTATACTTTTAATTAAAATTTTAAATTATTATTTTTAAATAATTTCTCTAGGGACTCGTCATCTCGACGTGCCGAGTCCCATTAAATAAATTAATATAATAGTTCACGTTGGGCTCACTAAATTGGGACCAATAAAATAATATATCCAACGGAACTCATCACTTCGAGGTGACGAGTTCCCCTATACTATAGCATTTGTCATAGATTGTAAAATAAAAACGAGAGTGTCGTAATGGGCCAAACAATTTCCGGGTTTGCCAATTGTGCAAAAAAACCTTTCACTATTGTCATTTGGGTCAAGCTTCTAGGCCCATTTGAATTTTGTTAAAAATATAGTTTATGCGCTTTATCAAAAAAATATTTCGATAATCAACAAAATCATGTTTTATAAAAAATAATTTTAATTTTAATTATTTATATAATTATTTAATGTTATGCATTTACCATCAGATACGTTTTGTGAGTATGTGAGAATAAAATTTGCATGTAATTAATAAATTAGTTAGGGTAAATACAAATAAAATTCAAAATAATCATTAAATCACGGTATGAAAAATTCTTGATAACCAAAAGTATAAAAAAATAAAAAAATTACAAATTACAATTCTTAATGTATCAACAAACTTTCATCTACTCATAAAAATGCAATTAACTTATTTAAATAAATTAAAACAAATTGATAATTTAAATATCAAAAATGAAAAATATCAATATAAGAATTCTGTTAAATTAAATATTAAACATATACTTTTCGTTTTATTTGGTCGTATTCAGCCTATAATATGTCATGCAAATTTTCATTATATATATATATATATATTAACATAGGAAAATTACAAGTGGTAGAATAAATATAAAAGATTCTCAATTATTTGTTAATGAACACTCAAATATTGTGCAATTGTTGATGCTTGAATCTAAACCTCTAAAGATATTACAATCCCTTTAATTATTAAGATCATTTGGTTCGTATTATACTTTTAATATATTTTAAATTTATGAAATAAAATAAAATTATATTTTAAATTCTAACATTGTACATCATTTCAACATGAATCACACTTAGCCTTGAAGGTTATATAACAATAATCTCTCAACCACTGAGATCGTATGATTCATGCAACTCCATCAAACTTGAATACATGTTAATATTATTATTATTATAAAAACTTGAGTACACATAAACAACTCAAATAAATAATTTTAATAAGAAAAGAAGAAATACAAACTTTTAGCTAATCTATGAGAATAATATCAAAATAACTTCGAACCAATCACATTGATTTGTCTTACCTCCTCGTGAAGTTTCGTGAGTCAGCCAAGTGACCCTGGGGTTGAAGGACAAATAACAGTCACCAGGATGAGGATGTCAGATGATGTTTGGCCATGCCAAAACACCAATATCCAACAAAAATTGTCTCTCAAGTGGTTGAATTAGTTGGCCTTAATATGTTTTATTTACAGGGTTTTTTTTTTTCTGGGTGTTACAGGTGAAGCCATTGTTAGTTATTTTATGTACAAGTTGAAATATAATCACAGGCTAAAAGGACAACCCAGTTGGATTTTAAGAAGTGGAAAAAACAAAAGGAGAAAACAAAGCTTTAGGCAATCCAAATTGGACCCGAAACGTGGAAAACCAATCCAACCACATTATCATTGACAAATGAATAGATTTAAAACACCACTCAGCTTCCGCGAACTCGCCTGCTTTGTTTCTCCGCCCCCCCCCCCCCGGTGTCTCTGAGAGCCATTTTCAGCCACTTATTTTACGTTTCTCAGGCTGTGGTTATACCCAGACACGAAACTTGATAGTAAATGTCCACTCGCTATCTTCTCTGCTTCATAATCTTAACTTTTTTACCATTTTGCTTTCCTCAAAACGGCACCATACCATGCCCCTTGAACTTCACCATCCTCCGCCCCGCCCTTTCCAACAGGCCCCAATTCAACACCTCCGGCGTCTGCAACTTCCTCCTCCAGGGCCTCCGCCTTGTTCTCTCCGACTACCTTGAACGCACCGGTTCATTCGTTCCTCCCTCAAACTCCTCCGACTCCTGTTGGCAATCTTATCAATCTCTCCTCCCAAACTTCAACCTCCGTTCCTCATGCGGTTTCCAAACCGCTTGGATCTCCCAAGGCTGCTTGGACTTAACCACGAGGTCCGAATTCGAAGCTTCCGTCCCGACCACCACCTTAAACGACGTGGCTTTAAGCTGTAATCAGTCCTTGGGTGGTCCTGCTTGTGCTTCATGTACTAGAAGCTTGTCCAATTTGCAAGCTTTGTACTGGTCGAACAATTCGATTGCCAACGTGTCCGACTGCACGGCCTACCCGTTTATTTATGCAGCAGCTGTTGCTAATCATTTTGGACCAACAAATGAAGATACAGCCATTTGTTTATTCTCAATCAGGTTAAGTGATAGCAGGAATGGTGAGGGTAAGCAAAAAGGTGTAGTTTGGGGTGTAATAATCGGGGTTGGGGTTGGTTTAGCTGTTTTCATCCTTGGGTTTTGGTTTCTTTATAGAAAACATCAAGACTCAAAGAAGAAAACGAGGGATCGAATTCAGAATCTTGAAAGTACTAATCTGGTTAAGTTTACCTTGGATGAGATTAAGGAAGCTACAAGGAATTTCTCCATAGATAACATTATAGGCAGGGGAGGCTATGGGAACGTGTACAAAGGCCACTTACCCGATGGCTCTGGGGTTGCTTTCAAGAGGTTCAAGAACTGTTCCGCCGTCGGTGATGCCAATTTCGAGCACGAAGTAGAGGTTATCGCTAGTGTTAGGCATGTGAATCTCGTTGCTTTAAGAGGATATTGTACCGCTACGACACCATCAGACGGTCATCAGAGGATAATCGTGTGTGATTTAATGAAGAACGGGAGTTTGCATGATCACCTCTTCGGTCCGACGAAAGCGAGACTTAGTTGGCCAACTCGTCGGAAGATTGCGTTAGGGACAGCGAGAGGGTTGGCTTACTTGCATCACGGGGCACAACCGGCAATCATTCATAGGGATATCAAAGCAAGTAATATACTCTTGGATGACATGTTTGAGGCCAAGGTCGCGGATTTCGGACTTGCCAAGTTTACGCCGGAAGGGATATCACATTTGACTACCAGGGTAGCTGGAACAATGGGATATGTTGCACCTGAGTATGCACTGTATGGCCAATTGACTGATAGGAGCGATGTGTATAGTTTTGGTGTAATACTTCTTGAGCTGTTGAGTGGAAAAAAGGCGTTCACCATGAGTGATGAGAACCACCCCTCTGTTGTGGCTGATTGGGCCTGGTCGTTGGTGAGGAGCGACAAAGCATTGGACGTTATCGAAGCCGGCATGCCGGATTTGGGGCCGCCAGAAGTTCTAGAGAAACATGTGTTGGTAGCGGTTCTTTGTTCTCATCCGGAGTTACAATGCAGGCCATCCATGGATCAGGTTGTGAAAATGTTGGAAACAGACGTTTCTGTTCCCTCGATCCCTGAACGGCCGATTCCGCTGGTTGCTCGTATCAATGACATCGAGAGATCTATAGAATGTCACGGCTCGGATCAGGTCGGTAAGAAGGGAAGTACAAGTTCAGGGTCTTCAATAGAAGTTTTTCATAAGCACACAATAAGCTGATTGAGCTCTTCAACAAACGCAGAATTGCATATACTGATACAATGGATACATTACAATCAAGTTAGATTCGTTTAAACTCAATCGATATAGGGCATACAATTTGTAAATATTTAAAGGTGTACGGTATATCAACATCTTTTTCTTCTCTGCAACGTAAATTGATTTGGGGAAGGATGTTGATGATAGGATTGTGAGAAGCGTCTTAAAGTCAACTTTTGATCTCTTTATAAATTGGTCCTTGATACTTCAACTATCATTTTTTGATTTAAATTAATCTTAAATTAAACTATCATTAAACTTAATCAAATTAACCACGGCTCCTAATGGGTCAAAGGAATACCTTAATCCTTGAAAAGATTTTTCAGTCATCCAACTCAGAAAAATCAGTTTGAAAAATCAAGATGTTGCATTCCCCCTTCGACTAGCTACATTTAGCAGATAAGCCTTTGACGCATATGATAAAAGAAGTCGAGAGATCCTCAATTGCAACACCATTCCTTCCAAGAAAGACCATTCAACCCTATAATATGCTTTACTCAAATCAAACCTAAGAGCAAAATGACCTTATTTACCTGAACGTTTCTTCTTGAGAGAATGAAGCATTTCGTAAGAAATAATCATATTGTTCGAAATTTGTCTACTTGGAATGAAAGCCCCTTGGGCTTTGTCTGTACAAATGGCTAGAGCTTCATGAAATCCGGAAACGATCATTTGAATAGCATTAGAAAGATTTATTGGCCAGAATATTAGAATGTTTAATTAAAAAGATTTATTGGCCAGAAGTTTATAACCCTTTAGGGTTTTTCTTGGTTGTCCTCGCGGTTTCAAGGTTCCGTCTTGACTAATTCGGACCGACTCGCGTCGCTCACCTGACTTTGATGGGTGAGTTTCCCTGTAGGGATTTTCTGCATTCACAAAGACTTTAACTCGAGACTTTGCTTAAACGATATCAAGCTACTTACTACTTGAATCAATCCCTATCGGTCACTTTAGTGTTTAGAACAATACACGTTGCGTTAATAATAATCGCTTCAATATTAATCTCTCGGTTCAACACATCCAAACAAATAGCAGTGATGATCTTACTGAATATGCGCCAATTTTTTATTATAAGAAAACCATCAGTACCTGATGTTTTTAATGGTGCCATGCTCTGTTTGGAAGAAACAAAAAATAAGCCAAAAATGAAAAACATATATGGAGTTGCAGAGGATCAAATCTTGTACCTCTCGCATGCAAAACAAGCGCTTTACCATTTGAGCTACATCCCCAATCATCTATTCTTTGACAATAAAATGTTTTGTCTTAGAAACTTGGGCCTTTCTTGAAATACCAGAAATATCAAAGGTAATGGTAAGTATCGTTAGTAATTGAAAGAATGGAAAATGAAAAGAAAATAGAATTTGAATTCATCGTATATAAAAGTCTTTAATTTTTATCATTCTTTTGATTCATCTGTGAACAAGAACGTAGCATTTCAACAAGCATAAACTACTCTAAAATCAAACTTATGCAGGATCAATTCAATGTTCACAAAACAACTCTTCCTATTAACAAGGTCTCACACTACCCCCACAATAAAAAAGATAGTCTAAAATTCTTGTCAACCCGACCCGATATTACCCTTTCCCCTAAATCAATTTAATGTAGTGCTATTAATATGTTCGTTTGTTGCAAAAAAAAAATTTAATAGACGAGGTGATTACGAGATAGTATGTAACACTCATAGTTTGTATACGTCTCGAAATAAGAGTTAAAGATATCACATCAACTTTACATATTTTCACTGAACATAAATGCTTAAAATTTTGTTTCGTTTTAAAACATTCTTATTCCAACTTTAAAACTATTCCATTAATCTTTTAAAACATAAAGTAATATTTAATCATTAAAAATAGATTCGCTTTCTAACTTATAATAACTGCCTAATCACCATTTCGTTTAAAAACCATTTTAGAATATAATCATATATTTGTTTAAATTATTCATTCATAGATATGGATATGGATATGACTAGTCTAGTCAAAATAAAATGGTCATAATTACTATTACAGACCATTTAACCTAATTCTAAATAAACTACTGATAACATAGATATACATGTCATTACTAGTCAAAAGTAACATCTTAGACGTCTTACTAATATTGATAGTATAGACTATCTCCAAAAAGATGTTCGGGAGGCTCCTCATCGCACGTCATAATCTTTGTTCAAACTTACACATGAAAATCTTCGCGCACTGAATAAAACTTAGTGAGACAGTAATAACTCAAGGTGAGATTATATATATATATATATATATATATATATATATATATATATATATATATTAAAATATTCAAAATAATACATATAAAATCTTAAAACGTTCAAATCAATTAGCTCAAGCTATTTCTTCATCATAACCGTAAAAAAATCAACTTATAATTTCATCAAAAATCATAATAATCAATAATAGACAGAGTAATCATTTAACATTTTTTTCATTCAGACACATTTCAGAACGTTTATATTCCATTTTCATAGCCCAAAGTATATTTAAGAGAATGCAAGGTACTTGAGTCAAACGAGTGTGTGCAATAAGCACTTCAGTGCTATTATCAGAGTCGGTCTTTGCAATCCAAATGCAATCATATCATTCATACCAACAATATTATACATAATATATACAGATGTACCAAATCAAAATCATAGTCACTCTACCTCATGGTATGCCAATTGTACCAATGACTCTCAATGCAACATACATGGTTCGTATCATAACCATTTAATAACCAACATTTCAAAAATCAGAATCATTTTTACTTCACTGTCATAAAAATCATAACTTAGGCAGTTCATACCCTAAATCATTCATAAAATTTTATAAAAGATATTATGAAAATTATCCATAAATAAGAAATAAACCATACTTTTAAAATAATATGAGGTTGACTTATCATAAGTTGACCTTAATCAGAATAATTAATTAAATAAATTGCATTCACATTTGTTTCACTATCGAACTTTTTATACGATACTCCAAATCACGAGCTTGGTCCTTCCCTTTCGGATCATTCGAATCGGTAGATTTATCGTGATATGACAATATCACATAATAACACAAAGTATCATACTAACGTAAACTAACTTTAATATTATAAAATTCTATAAAAATAAATTCGATACTAAATCAATATCAAACTAAACTATATCTCCAATATAACTTCAAACTTCTCAAAGTACTCATTCAAATCTCTAAATATTTTTCCTTCTTAAACTTTCATCTTTTGCCAATTACACAATCAAGCCATTAATTGTGATTTTTTTTAGAATTCACCCCAATTTTTATATTAAATTCATAATGATCATTCATCATTATGATCGTTGCACAATAATTACTAAATTTTCAGTACTTTAACAAAACACTTAAATTAATACCTCAACATTCAAGACATTGCAATTTCAACATAAACTTTCTTAAATTTTTTATTTCAACCACCTAATCTTATAAACTTGTAATTTGCTCCCAACTCAATAATTGAACTCAAAAACCAGGATATCGATAATATTTCCAGCATTGAAATTTCCTATTCATAACGGTACCAAAACCTTTGCAAAATCATAAACAAGTCCCTAAATATTTGGGACCTTTCGAATTCTACCATTACAATTTAATAAAATTGTAATTTGGTTCCAACTTAAAATTCTAGCATATGCTTATTAAAAATCAACATTAAGTACCTCAAATCGCACATTTATACATTTAAGTCCCACAATACTCATAACTTGCAAACAAAACCTTTTAATATCTCAAGGCTCCAAATTGATCCAAATTGATCTCCAAGTCACATAGAATACTTCTAATATCAATTCTAGACCAGAGAAAAATTTTCAATATTTCCCCCCAAATTTTCCTTATGGTCAAACCTAAGTAATGCACTAAGACAAGGACTTCATTCATTTTCAAGCATGAATTCAACCTCCTATGATCAAATTCATGCAATTCCAACTATCATAATATCAAATTGAATCAAAATCAATCAATCTCCTAAAACCCTAAGCATGGTCGAATTCAATACAAAGCTTTACACTTAGTTTGAATCATCACAAAAGCCTTAGAATTAATCTTCAACATCAAAAGCATAATAATCTACCATTAAATCTTCAAAATCCATAAACCTTCAGAAACCCTAATTGTAACAACCCAAAAATTTCAAAATAATATTTAATTGGGAATTGAGGTTTTAATTGTGAAAATCGGTAAATTTTTGGGGACTAAATTGAAAGATTTTAAAACTTGTAGCTTGTTTTAGAGTTAAAGAAAATTCAGGGACCAAGCCCTGAATTTGCCCAAGAAAAGTAGGTAAGTTTGGTGTATATTACGGGAGTTGGTTTCTGAAAATCAGAAACCAATTCCTCTCGAATTCCCTCTCCCAACCTCAACTTCCGACGATGATCCCGACGTCGTCCGAATTCTGATCGCCGTTTTGAAAGTACCATCGTGTTCGTTATCGAGTCAGGAACAATCCCCTTAAATTAATTGAAGCGAAACGCTACCAAACGCCGTGAATTTCAAGTCAAAGCATCGACGTTTTTTTAGCTCAATCGCCTAGAAAATCATAAATTCATCGCCGATCGTTGCTCCGTTTACGACACCTCCCATACCATCGTGTTCCTTGTGTCGTTCCGAGTCCGCCGATGTCATCCTCTGTCTCCGTCAACGGCGGCGCGTGGGGAGGTGAAGCTGTTAAAGTTTCAGATTTGATGAAATCGAGCTCTCTGCCGTTCAAAAATTTGAATCGATCTTTGTAAGTATCTCGAAATCGCTCAAAATAATTTTTATAAATTTTTCCGTGATTTTTAGAGCCCCAGAGGAGGTCTCACGCGCCATACGCGCCGCCGCAGGGCGAGTGCATAACTGGAAAACCGATTTAACCGGTTTTGACTGGTCCGACCCGTCCCGACCGTTGACCCGACCCGACCGTTGATCGTTGACGTTGATCGGAGATATTCTGGGAATTAATTCGATTTTGGTGCTATTTTGGTAATTAACTTGAAAAGGGTGATATTTTGGTTATTATTTTAAAAAGGGGTGCTATTTATGT